TCAGTGATCGGACGAGAACTGGTGCTTTCAACGTGGTATGGCAGTAGACATTATATAGGAATTTTTCTGACGGGTCTTTCTCGCAAATCAAGGGGAAATACCAGCAAAAAGGAGTCTACAGCACTCGGTGTTCCCAGGCGGTCACCCATCCAAGTACTAACCGAGCCCGACGTTGCTTAACTTCAGTGATCGGACGAGAACTGGTGCTTTCAACGTGGTATGGCCGTAGACATTATATAGGAATTTTTCTGGTGGGTCTTTCTCGCAAATCAAGGGGAAATACCAGCAAAAAGGAGTCTACAGCACTCGGTGTTCCCAGGCGGTCACCCATCCAAGTACTAACCGAGCCCGACGTTGCTTAACTTCAGTGATCGGACGAGAACTGGTGCTTTCAACGTGGTATGGCCGTAGACATTATATAGGAATTTTTTTAGCGGGTCTTTCTCGCAAATCAAGGGGAAATACCAGCAAAAAGGAGTCTACAGCACTCGGTGTTCCCAGGCGGTCACCCATCCAAGTACTAACCAGTGATCGGACGAGAACTGGTGCTTTCAACGTGGTATGGCCGTAGACATTATATAGGAATTTTTCTGACGGGTCTTTCTCGCAAATCAAGGGGAAATACCAGCAAAAAGGTGTCTACAGCACTCGGTGTTCCCAGGCGGTCACCCATCCAAGTACTAACCGAGCCCGACGTTGCTTACTTTCAGTGATCGGACGAGAACTGGTGCTTTCAACGTGGTATGGCCGTATACATTATATAGGAATTTTTCTGACGGGTCTTTCTCGCAAATCAAGGGGAAATACCAGCAAAAAGGAGTCTACAGCACTCGGTGTTCCCAGGCGGTCACCCATCCAAGTACTAACCGAGCCCGACGTTGCTTAACTTCAGTGATCGGACGAGAACTGGTGCTTTCAACGTGGTATGGCCGTAGACATTATATAGGAATTTTTCTGGCGGGTCTTTCTCGCAAATCAAGGGGAAATACCAGCAAAAAGGAGTCTACAGCACTCGGTGTTCCCAGGCGGTCACCCATCCAAGTACTAACCGAGCCCGACGTTGCTTAACTTCAGTGATCGGACGAGAACTGGTGCTTTCAACGTGGTATGGCCGTAGACATTATATAGGAATTTTTCTGGCGGGTCTTTCTCGCAAATCAAGGGGAAATACCAGCAAAAAGGAGTCTACAGCACTCGGTGTTCCCAGGCGGTCACCCATCCAAGTACTAACCGAGCCCCACGTTGCTTAACTTCAGTGATCGGACGAGAACTGGTGCTTTCAACGTGGTATGGCCGTAGACATTATATAGGAATTTTTCTGGTGGGTCTTACTCGCAAATCAAGGGGAAATACCAGCAAAAAGGAGTCTACAGCACTCGGTGTTCCCAGGCGGTCACCCATCCAAGTACTAACCGAGCCCGACGTTGCTTAACTTCAGTGATCGGACGAGAACTGGTGCTTTCAACGTGGTATGGCCGTAGACATTATATAGGAATTTTTCTGGCGGGTCTTTCTCGCAAATCAAGGGGAAATACCAGCAAAAAGGAGTCTACAGCACTCGGTGTTCCCAGGCGGTCACCCATCCAAGTACTAACCGAGCCCGACGTTGCTTAACTTCAGTGATCGGACGAGAACTGGTGCTTTCAACGTGGTATGGCCGTAGACATTATATAGGAATTTTTCTGGCGGGTCTTTCTCGCAAATCAAGGGGAAATACCAGCAAAAAGGAGTCTACAGCACTCGGTGTTCCCAGGCGGTCACCCATCCAAGTACTAACCAGTGATCGGACGAGAACTGGTGCTTTCAACGTGGTATGGCCGTAGACATTATATAGGAATTTTTCTGACGGGTCTTTCTCGCAAATCAAGGGGAAATACCAGCAAAAAGGTGTCTACAGCACTCGGTGTTCCCAGGCGGTCACCCATCCAAGTACTAACCGAGCCCGACGTTGCTTACTTTCAGTGATCGGACGAGAACTGGTGCTTTCAACGTGGTATGGCCGTATACATTATATAGGAATTTTTCTGACGGGTCTTTCTCGCAAATCAAGGGGAAATACCAGCAAAAAGGAGTCTACAGCACTCGGTGTTCCCAGGCGGTCACCCATCCAAGTACTAACCGAGCCCGACGTTGCTTAACTTCAGTGATCGGACGAGAACTGGTGCTTTCAACGTGGTATGGCCGTAGACATTATATAGGAATTTTTCTGGCGGGTCTTTCTCGCAAATCAAGGGGAAATACCAGCAAAAAGGAGTCTACAGCACTCGGTGTTCCCAGGCGGTCACCCATCCAAGTACTAACCGAGCCCGACGTTGCTTAACTTCAGTGATCGGACGAGAACTGGTGCTTTCAACGTGGTATGGCCGAAGACATTATATAGGAATTTTTCTGACGGGTCTTTCTCGCAAATCAAGAGGAAATACCAGCAAAAAGGAGTCTATACCACTCGGTGTTCACAGGCGGTCACCCATCCA